GCCCACTTGGAGAGCAAGGGAATACAGTTCGAGTTCAACAATCAGGCGTCCACCTGAAGAAAAGGAAAAGCATCTCAAATTGCAATTCAAGTCAGCAACCAAAGAATCTCACGGCAAGAATGCGAGTCAACAGTCCGAGGTGATCAACAAAAGTTAGTCACAATAAAGAAAAAAAGAGAGAAAAGCAAGAAGTGAATCCAAATGCAGAAGTTGATGGAAGATGTGAACTGCTTAAGACATGGTGGAAGTCATAAGCACTACATGTCCGGTCTTGATCCAAAAAGCTATAGAAGAACGAGCTAGCACCTGCAACTAGCAAGCGTCAAAGCATCAAATCTAAGGTCCGCATGAAGAACCATTCAAGACTCAAGATCAAGCTTCAGAAGACTTATAGATAGGAATCTTGTAACTCGTAATTGACAGGCTTAGCTAGTCTTTTTCATGTTTTGATTTTTGATGTAATAACAGGACTGCGGACCGAAACCTCGGCGGAACGGCACCTCGATTGGCTCTTCACCTCGGCATACTCCATCATCTCACTCACTTCCCGAACTACACTGACTTGATTCCTTTATAGCCAAGGATATGTAAGCAGCTCAAACACCAGGGCTCGGTCACATTCTCCTTTCTCTTAGTTTTAGTCTCTCCAAGTAAGGGTCGGGTCAAAAACCTGTCTAGTCAGTCTTTATCTGTTCGCGTTTTCAGTCAAAGATGGGCATCTGTAGACATGTGATTTTTGACTCTCCCCAAGATTTTATATATTTTAGCGTGTAAATATTTAGTTTAGGCCTAATATAGCTATTTCAACTCATTTTGTCTCTTTTACTTTATTTTGTTACAAGAAAAATGAAAATCACAAAAAATATTTTAGTTTATGTATTTTTCATAGAAAAAATTTAAAATATATATATAAAAATGGTACCTTATTTTTATCTTTATATAATTTCGAAAACACAAAAATAGTTTCATGTTTAGTTTAATTAATTAGGATTAGCTTTGGATTGTGTAGTATTTTTATCTTATTTTAAAAGGAGGTGTGACAAAATCCTAATGTTGTTAAAAGCACGCTGAGACATGGTTAAACTCAAAACTAGGTGTCAAGTAAGTTAGACACTTCATCTTGCTAGGCAGCACTTCAATGCAAGCACCAAGGTTTTAAGGGATATCTTCCGAAATGCACCTTTGAGCCCATGCCCTCTTATCTTAATGAGGGAGACACTGACACTACCAATGATTATAAGTGATATATAATAGTAATTTTTAGGGATAATACATCATTACCCCCTTGGGGCTGTCCCACTTTGCCAGTTGCACTTTCAAAATTTGCGGGGGTCCTATGACCCCCTTGTCTTTGTTCAAAATATAATAAATACCACCTTCCGTGGTTAGCACCACTTTCAACCAAAATAATATATGGCACGCACCAATCATGTATTGACATGTGTTTTTCTTCTTTTCTTTTTTTGTTTTACTCTTTATATTTTCTTTTTATTCATTATTTAATTAACATTATCTTTTATTTTTATTTTCTTTTTCTTTCTTATCTTTTCTTCTTCTCTGTCACATTGCAACAACTAGCCATCTTCTTTCTCATCTTCGCTATTGCAAATTGCTTATACTCAATTTTTTTCCAGATTTCTTACACGTAATTTAAAGTACCAATTTTTGAGTAATTCATCCATATTTCTAAAAAGCTTTACAAAGCCACCACCACCAAAGAAAGATGGCGGATGGCTTTTCAGTTTTGAGCTTCGAAATTACATCAATAGCAGAGCGCTTTTCTTCAAGTTTCAGACATTCAAATCAATGTAACCTCAAAATGTAGCTTCAAGTTTCAACTCCCAGAAGGTTTGAATAGCCAATTTTTTTTAACTTTGAGGATTCAAATCACCTGTATCGGACTTTCGAAGCACCCGCAATGGAGTTCAAAATTTGCAGTTCGAAATCCTCAGTAAGTAACCCGAATTTCCGCTCCAGATTTGATTTTTGGACTTTAAAAATAGTACTACAGTACCCAACAACTAAATTCAGTTCTTCAAAACCCAACAACTAAATTTTCGTTCTTCACCTTCAATCTTTTTCATAATTAAGGATACTGAACAATGACTTGACAGTGAACAAAGAAAATGAAAAAGAAAGAAAAATGAAAATGGAGAAATAACTAGAAAGTGGGTGCAAATAAAAACGAAAAAGTCAAAGGAAAAAAAAGGAGAAATAACCAGATTTGGGGAAATTTTTTACTTCTCACGCGCTATGATAGCGTGCAAAATGCTAAAGGTGCCACATCAGCTCAAAAAGAGATATTTATTATACTTTGAACAAATACGAGGGGATAATAGGACCCCTGCAAAGTTAAAGGGTGTATCTGACAATTAGCTACAACACCCCTGCCTAACCAATTTTTTTTGGAAGGTTAGGGGACAACAGTAGAAGTGTCATAGAATGGCAAACACTTGAACCAGCACTACCACGCGTGGAAGCCTCGAGAAGTAAGAGACAATCAGTGTGAGCAATATGCTGAAGAATTAGCAGCTTAATAAAAGTTTTTTTTTTTTGTGTGT